CAGGAGCTAGGCCGCTGCTGCACGGTTTGTCGCCACCGCCTCCCGTTCCTCCCCTGCGCTGCACGCTCCCTGGGTAACACGCCACCATCCAGGACTCGTGTCCATGCGGTATTTTCATATATATATATATATATGCCCCTTCCCAGTTGCTGCGGTTGCACGTAGGGTGTTTACTGCATGTGTATATTATACTGTGTATGTGGCCGATGTGCAGTGTTGTCTGTACTGTTGATTGCTATGTTGATCCGTGCTGCCATGAACTCTGACAGAAAAATAACTTTCACGAGGGCTGAGGGGAGTGCCACTGCCTGGTCATGAAAGCGACAAAAGTATTTTAGACTTGTGCTTTGTTTTCTTTTGTCAATGCTTATTTGGGCTAAACAAAATAATGAAGTTCTGTTCTTTCACCTAGTTGTCTGTTGCCCATTTGCAGTACTCTCTTAAGGTTTCTATAACATCTGTGGACAGCTTTGTCGTGAATTAAAATTGTACTGAATTGTCCCTGCAGTAAAGCTGGGAAAAGGCATCTTATCTGCACTGGGGTCTCTCTTGCTCTGGAGGTTACTTCTTGTGGACCTTTCTTTCTAGACCTCTGAAAAAGAGTGGTTCTATGTTGTTGTATGATACTTTTTCACAGAGGTAAAAGTGCCCGTCTGTGAACAAGGCTTACTCAGGTTGTCTACATCCTAAATCATTTCAAACCCCAAGTGAGAAGTCTAACTTTTCCAGTAGCCAGATGTTATCGTATGGGATGCGTTGGTTTTTTGGGGTTGACTTCTGACATGGTTTGGATTGAGGGCCTCTTGTGCTTGGGCATTGCTCAGGAATGGGAAGAAAATCTCAACCCTGGGGGACTATATAACTAAATATCACATAGTTTAATATGGATTAAAAGGGAATTTGCTAGCTTCCTGTATGGATTTGAAAATGTCATAAATCTGAGTGGAAGGAAGAAGCTCTTGTTTTCCTTTTCCATTTTATGAATAACAACAGAAAAAAGAAAGCGACTGTGAAGGACAGCAGTTTGAAACAAACCTGTTATACTGGTGGTACTTGGATTTATAATGTAAATAGATCTCTTAAAATTCTTGCTTACTCCTGTGCATCTAATGGAACCCGCTTACGATTGTTTCTTACTTTGCTGTATCTTTCTGCAACAAAGGAGGTAGACCTTACTTAATTTTGTTCTAAAATGAGTTTGACTTGTGTTTTCCAAGGCGATGACTCCAGACAGTTGCATGTTGTTCTGATTTGTTAGACTGACAACAAAACTCTTCTGGTTTCTGTATACGCTGTCCCTAAACTTACCCGATATCTCTGGAAGCTGACTCTTCTGCTACGAACAAACACAGACACGTGCTACAGGTTAGACTCTTTTATAGGAAGAGGAAAATAAGATAAATGAGGATATTCAAATGGATAAAGATCTATGGCTGAGAGAATGGACATCGGAGAAAGTGCTCTTACTGATGAGGACAGGTATGCGATATTTAATGTAGCTGTGGTGCTAGGGTGTGGTTAATAAGAAATGAGGTGTGTGCATATAAATGCAGGAAGTTTAGGAAACAAAATGGAGGAACTTGATGGAGCAGGATGTGAAACCATTAAAAGGGTAACCAACACAATGTGTGTATGAGTAGATAGCTATTGAGGAAAATCAAAAAGTGAAAATAATATGATACGTAGCCTTGATTTAAAAATGAAGTTAAAGTTCTCCTATACAAAGAGAAGTGAAGGCCTGAAGGTCTTTAGAAATACTTACTAGGCTGCAGGCTGAGTTGAGGTGTTTTACATGATTAAAGAACATGGCAAATGCTTTTCTTCAAGAACAGCTTGAAACGGGGCTCTGCACAGCTGCAAGCTTGTTAATGTGAGCCCAGTAGCATGCAGGCCTTGTGCTTTCAGAGAAAGAATAACTGGACATGGAAATAATAAGAAAATGCAAAGTGATCTTCAACAGCAGATCATAGGAAGCGTGCTGGGTTGCTGTCTGATCAGTTAAGACAAATATATTGTCTTGTGCTAATCAGATGCTTTAATGAAATCTAAATGGGGAAAGCTAGAGAGGATGACTGGAGAAGAGCTGAAGAATGAGTGAGGAACTGGCCAGCAACAAATAATGTTGTCAGATAGATGTGAAAGTTACTGGGCTGCTAGCAGGCTGCTGCTGAGACTCCTCAGGGATCAGTCTTGGAGGAGGGTATTTAAAGACGAGCATGCAAAAATAAATAAACTGACCAGGGAAGCTGTGGGCCCGTCATCTGAAAGAGGGCAGAGATGTTTATATGTTTAGAAAGACCTAAATGTCCGTGGTGTGTGAGTCATAGAACCACAATGAAATTCAATTCTAATAGACCTCATAGCTTGCTATGGACAACAGACTTAGGGGAGTTCACCACTTGAGTGTATTAATTAGTAACAAAACTGTTATTACCTTCCAGTATGGTGTGATTTTACAGAAGACCACAGCTGAAGCAGTTACAGACTGTATTTCTAGCAGCCTTCTGAAGTAAGGTACCAGTTAGACTGCATTGTTTCATGTGCTTGACAAAAGTCTTCATGGGGCCAGAGTGCAATTATGAATTGAAACAATTCTACATCTCCCCAGTCCTCCCTGCCCCACTTATTGATCTCTTCTTAGTGTTCACTGTTAATTAACATCTTAAGTAAATATGCAGGGAAGAGAAGGAAGATTGTGCCCTGGGAAAGAGGGTAGCTACCTAGTCATTTTGTGTAGAGATTTAGAAGCTGTTCTGAATAATAGTTATTATTGGTTGCATACAGTTCCCCTTGTATGCAATCAATATTCTCTTCCAAATGAAAAAACTTGACAGCTCTTTAAAAGTTGTTTCAATTTATGAAAGGAATGATATGATGGCATTACCTTTTATAGAAGGGAACTGGACTTCAACTGTGAGATCCTTTCCTGTTGCATATCCTTGAGGAGTGACCGAAAGAACACCTGGATGGCCAGATGAAATAGAAAGTGCCTCTTGCTTCAGACTAACTAAACAGTGGTCCTCTGGCTGCAGAGTGGTATGTTTTTAAGGGGAACCTGTACGAATTAGACAGTCCTGAGTTTGAAGCAGATAGCTCTTTTCAGGTGTATCATCTCTGTGCGGATTGGCAGCTGATGGTATTAACCACATGTAGTGTCTAATAAAACCTGTGCCTAAGGTTCTAGTCTTTTCTGATAATAGACCTGCTTATTGCTGAGCATAAAGCTATGAAATTTCTCTATGCAAATGATAACCAGTGAAGGTTAAAATCGACTAATGTCCTTGAGTTGGGTTGGAAGGAACTGCATGGGTCTCGCAAAAGCTGGTATGGGTATGATATTTACAGTTGCATTACTCTGATGGAGAATGTTACGGCAACGCGCCTAGAACCACCTTATCCAAGTTTGTACAGATGTATGCTGATACTTGAAATAAGGCTTCAGTGAGATGTCAAAATACCTGTGTAGTGCTTGTTGATTAGAGGAGGAAACGTAGGTGTCACTAGTATCTCATTAAGGTCATCTTTAACTTTATATAAGTAAAAAGAATCCTCTAAGGGAGGAGTTGATATATGGAAAATGGATTATGGTGACACTGTTCACTGTAAAATTTCTAGTCCTTGCTGTAATAGAGTAATTAATTGTACAGGCTTTGAAACTTGCAGCAATCTGTGTATAGTGAAGCATGATCCTCTGGCTAGTTGCCATCCTGAAATAATGCTCTAAACTCTGGGGAAGTGTTACTCTGAAAAGGGAGCTAAAACTTGTCCTAAGTTGGCAGACTTTCCCAGAAGAGAGATGGCAGGTAGACCAAACTTCCATGCTAAACTTCTTTTACTTTCTGTTAACAGTAAATTCAGAGTTGGTTAACTTTGATGTCATAGTGTATAATGCCAGCAGTGGCTGAAGGGAAGTTGCATGTACGTACGTGCAACTTCCTCAGTCCTGCAGTCCCCTGCTCTCCCAAGAGGAAAACCCCAAACTCCTGTAGTTGGCATTATTAAGATTCACATGTCTGGAACAGAGAGCTGTGAAGTGGAGGTAGAACTCCAGTTTCTACAGATGGCTGATGCTATCAACTTACATTAACTCATTGCATTAACATATAGCTAATATTTTTGTGTGTTTACTGAATCCTGTTGTGCACCCATGTTGTCCAGACTTCCTTCTTTATCTGTAGTAAATGCTGAGATTGTAAGTTTTCTAAGGCTGAATTCTTGCCATGGCTTCTATGTTTAGTTTGTTGCATTTATTTTCCCCCTTCAGCACAGAGCCCTTCTGGAATATCAATTCTATTCCAAGATCTGAGTACAGGTTGGATTCCTGCTTATCTTTATTGGAATTTGAGTGTTTGAGTTTGTTATTTAGTGTTGGGGTTTTTTTTAAGAAGTTGTCTGTTCTCCAGAAAAGATTCCTGACCTTTAGTAATAATTTGGAGTATTTTAGAATCTTTTCTGTAACATGACCCTTGGAATAAATGTAACACCAAAGTATTGCTTTGCTTTTTTTTTTTTTTCTTTAGTTTAACTTCAGAAATGGTGCTAAAACATAGTATCTGTGTTTCTGCAACCTTTCCTTACCTGTGTCTATCAGACACAGTAACTTCTCCAGCAACTCTCTGGGACCTGAGAGAAGGTCTAGACTCATGGTATGAGTGAATTTATCTATTAGCATTGCTATTAATAATACGTTTCTTTAAGCTCTGGAGAGAGCACGCTAGGTCTGGCTGTACACAGTGGTATCTCTCACCACCTTTAGGGACCTAATGTCACTCTAAGAATGAGGGTGAAGTTTTACCAATAAAGATGTGGCTTGAAATTAGTCGTCCCTTCTCACCCATTTCTTGGTAGACTTTGTTGCCAAGCACAGAATTTGGTTTTCTCACTCTCGCTTTGAACTGGGAACTGATTTTGATGCATATGTTACAAAGCAGTGACAGTTTCTTTTATATTGAAATGGCAGTTAGACTTCTTTACTTAAAGAGTATAATGAAAATTGGCATATCTTAGCAAGCAAAACCAGTCTGTCAAATAAACAGAGTATATTTAGCAGTAAAGGTTCTAGTTAAGAGACTAATTTCTAATTCAGTTTGTGATATAGCTTGCACAGAGTTCCCAGTTTGTCCATGCTTTAAAAAAAATTTTTCCTCACCTTTCAGTGGTGCTACTCACAAGCTTGTGTAGTAAGACGTGTTCCCCGCACTTGTTATGTGCAGGAATATTGTAAAATCATGTGCTCGGAAACATGAAACTTCTTTGAGTATTTCTGAGTGCATAGCGTTCCTAGGTCAACTAGTATTGCGAAGGAAGATGCTTGCCCAGGTTTCTGCAGGGTGGATTTCATAGCCACGTGAGTGGTTCCCTATCTGGGAATTTACAATGCTGATTTTTTTTTTTTTTTTTGAACTGTAAGTTAGTAGATACTACTGTTCTCAGAATGCACCATAGATCTTTCAAACTACGTAAGTATTTGTGCTCTCAGTGTCTTTGCCTTTCCCTTTCTTTCTGTTGTGGCTGCAGCACCCACCTGTTTTCTGTGGAAAATAGTGCAGTTCATGCTATCTTCCTGAAGTACTTGTGCATATTAATTGGCTTTTTTAAGCTTTTTTTTTTTTTTTTTTACTTCCACTTACATACCCTGCAATCCTCCAGTTTAACCTTGTCTGTTATCAAGCTGAATTGAGCCATGAATATAGTCCTCCTCGCTTTACTTGGAAAGCAAGTAGTAAGTTCAGTATCCTCTAAGGACAAGTGGGCCAGATCAGAAGACGCTCAGTTTGAATGTTACTGCTATTGGGACATGCTGGAGAAGAGGAAAAACACAATCTGTGAAGATGGGTTTGGAAAATTTGAAGTACTGGATGTTTCCACAGTGACACATTAATTTTGAACTGTACATGGAGCAGTTACTTGTCTCTATTTACTGGTGTTGAAAATAATCAGTGCATGTATTGAAACTGATACTGTAACTCTGGAGTCTTCCACTTCCAAGACATAAGGCAGTTAATTTGCTGGCATGTTGAGTAAAGAGCAGTGCGTTTTTCAGTCATGGTGTGAATTCTTACCCAGTACAGCAATAAGAAGTGGCCTGTCCACTGAGCAGTTATTTGCCAGAGGCTGAGGAGGACAGAGGTGGGGTGGCTGCATGAGATTGGCCTCTACTATGGGAGAGGAGTTTCCTCTAAATTTTTCTTGATTGAAATTACTATTCTTGGAACCCGTGCAGCGCTTGTGTGTGTTGGCAAGATAGAATTCCACATCAAGAGCTACTGTCCAAAATTGTCTTTTGTTTACTATCCTGGATTAAACTTGGTTTAATGGGACACTGTGTGTGTGTATATATATATATATAGGACTTAGCATAAATGCTTTCCATACTGCCTGGGATAGAAGGACTTGAGAGTTTCCGCATCACGAGCCAAGCATGAAGGAAGGGCAAGGTGCAGATCAGCGACTGGCACACAGTAAACCCTCCTTAACTGCCTGTTGGAGTTGTTCCCCCTCCAAGGTCTAGATAAGAGCGTTTGCTTTAAACCTCTGCTGTGTGAAGCAGTGGCTGTTGGCTGTGTACTGTGAATGAGATTTGTTGTCAGTCACCTTTCTTAGGACTACAGCTCACTGTTAGGGATTAATCGTGCTTGAGGAAACAATTTGCTTTTGAAAAAGTTACTGGCTTGTAAGCTTTGCTGCGTTTTTACTTCTTTACAGTACTGGCTTCGTTTGTCATGTGGATGACACGTGACTGAATGAAAATCTTTCTAGGCTAAAGCAACGTTCTTTATAAAAATACCATGTTTTTCTAATGGCTGGCTATCTGCCATGCAGGAGCAAGAAAGGAAATGGTGAATTCTTAGTAGAAATTTTCCACTTGCTTACCTGATCACACTATATCTAGTTTAACTTAAAGCCGGAGAAAAGCAGGTATTTTGCATCCTTTATGTTAACTGGCAATATCTGGGCTGTATAGACTTTAGTAATCCTGGTTAACTTATTAGTTGGTAAGTCAGCTGTTACCCCTTGCAGGTTTACATAGCTGAAGCTGGTTCCAATTCCTCCTACATCTAGGAAAGCACAGGAAAACTCTGGACTACTGGAAGCACCCAGACAAAATACCGTAGACCATAAGATTAGTGATTAAACCTTATCAGATCAGTGAGGTATACTTAAGAGGGGGGAAGAGAGAAACTGCTAAACCTTGCTGTAATGCTGCTGTGCTGACACAGCCACAGAGATGTTAACTAACTTCCTGAACATCTGATTTGTGGCTTGTACCGCTTTTCTAACACAGACGTGTAGCAGTCCGGACCCCAGTTCTGGCTACTACAGCATTCTTCTGCTGTTGTCTTAATTCTTAGCTGTTTGATGCAAGCTGCACTGTTTCCTTTTGTTCCTGTTGCAAGTCTCAAAAGTGTGAGGTAATAGTTCCAAATTAGTGGTTTGTTTTTTTTTTAAACCTCTCCAGATTTTTCTTTTGGAGTCAGATTTTCAGTTCGTGTATTGGCTATTTGGCTAGCGAGTGCTGGTCCACTCGGTGACTCTGTACAAAGCAAGAGCCAACTGGGGCTTTTCAACAGCTTTAAGTCTTTCTGCATAAATGAGTATCAATACTACGCAGAGCGTGTTTCTACTTAGAGGCCTTACAGATGGGTTCAGAGCAAATGATGTGGGAGTTTCGCTGCGTGTCTCTGACACAAATTCAGTGACTGTGGGGAAGTACACAGAAACTGGAACTGTGAATGAGAGGATAATTGAGGGGGTGGGTGGGGAGGGGAAGAGGGTTTTGTTTGCTTATATGAACTAAAATGGATGAATTGGGTTGAGTTTGGTGAACAAGTAGCAGTTCTGACATGTTCTGTTTTTTGTTTTAGTGCCACAATGGCAACTGCACCTTACAACTATTCCTACATCTTTAAGTACATCATTATTGGTAAGTATTGCTGGGCACCGACCTGTTTATGTCAATGTGTGTATGTGTGACAGCCTACCTACAAACCCTGTGGCTGTACTCTTGTTGCCTTGTGTTGGGTGCTACTTGCTATGTAGTAGTGATTCTTCCAGTAGTTACTTGTCCAACCTCAGGCCCTCACATCACTATGCTTGCTCTAAAGCTTTAGCAGCTGACAATATAAAGGCAAAAGCCTTTGTGTGCCACAGAATTAGAGCTGTGTGGCTGGTGGCAGGTGAACTGGGAGTGAGGGCAAGCACCAGTGTCTGTATTGAGTTCACTTTATTGCTGAGTTACTGTTAAAAATAACTGTTTGTGATGCACATACTTCAGTATTCTTGAATATCATCACTGTTAGGGCCATAATGCTTAGCCCTCTGCACAGCACTAGAAAAAAAGACATGCCAAAAACATGTACATGTGGTCTCTTTCTGTCTAAATCGAGTTTATCTTTAGAAAAATTGCTAAATCCATTGGAAATGGGGAAAAACTGTGATGCGAATCGCAACTGGGATGTTGCGTTGATTCAGGTTTACTGTAGCAGTTTGACTGCCTCTGCATCACTAGTCTCAGGTTTTAGAATCTCTGCTGAAGACACAAGTGCTAATTGGAATCCATTGCTTTAGGCAGGCTTATAAGCTTCTGTCAGGCTATATTTTTTGTGTTAAACGTTGCTTTTAGCTGCAGCTTCCTTGGCTGTTTAGTCAGGGATTCGATTGCATTTATTACTATCCTGGAAGAGCTGGTCTTACTGTTAATTGTTTAATTCTTAATGATCTTGTGTAGTTGTAAGTGATCTACAGTCTTATTGTAATGGTTTGCAAGTCAGGCTGCTTTGACAGCCTCAGCCTCCGGAAAAGTTGGTTCTTAAAAGATCTTGCTGTTTCTCACCGTTGGCTTTGGAAATGAAGCAATTTCTTGGTATGTTCTGGTTGGCTGTCGGTATTTTTGATGTCCTGACCAGTAAGTGCAAGTAAGACAGGAGCAGGACAAATACTCAGAAGTTGTATTTTACGTTTCCATTTCTTACAGGTCTGCTGCTCATAACCTTGTGAAATACAGTTGTAAAATCAGTAGCACACATTAACTTCTCTTTTGAGTTTTCTGCTCCACCCTTGCTTGCAACCCTGTACCTGTTACCAAAACTATAGTGCAAAAGTTGATTAATTTAAGGACTGTAGCCAGGTGTAGAACATTGCCCTCTGGACCTGAGGATGGCTGCCTGTCTCTGTACCACTTGTTGTGCAGGATGAAGAAAATGCTTGTTGTAACAATGATGTGGTGTCAGCCTTAACTATTCTTTCTGTGACAGGGGACATGGGTGTAGGAAAGTCCTGTTTGCTTCATCAATTTACAGAAAAGAAGTGTGAGTATTTCCATTCACAATATTTATTCTGACTGGTTGGTGTGCTTCATCTTTCCTGCCTTTTTGCTTCCACCATGCATGAGCTTGATGTGGTGTCTGTCTCAATCTGTATGGGTTTGTATTGTACTTGGTCAGATTTCTGTTTTGACTCCTGCAGATGTAGAAACAAAATGTTGATGTAGTAATGGCAAACCTGCTGCCTCAGTCAGTCCTACCTGTGATGAGTGGGAAGACCACCTCTGTTTTTACAGCTTTTCTGGGCAATTTTGATACCAAACAAAGTGAAATGTCTTGTCTGAAACTTGCATGTTTTCAGTGTTGGTGTAGCTTGAACACAAGCAGTTGGAGTTTTTCAGTGCTTTTAAGCCCTTCAAAAAGGAAAACAAAAAGATGGGATTTGTTTTTCTTTGGCTCTGTTTGCAGACATAAGTAGTGCTGTCATTCTCTGTAGCTGCTGTGGCTCATGGCGCTTGGACTGCCCTGTGTGATGGTCTCTTACTGCCGGCTGTCTCAACTGCAATGTTTTTTCATGTGTGCTGTCATGACTAATGAAGAATTATCCTCAGTTCTTATTAATAATGTGCATAGTATTGGAGTTGGCAGTGGCTGTTGGCTCTTATGGCTCTCCATGAAGCTCACTCTTAGTGGATAAGTCCGTAGGTATTTAGTGGTACAAAGTTGGGCTTTACTGTGTGCTACTCGAGATGTGGCAATAAGTGGGTAGGAGCTACAGTTTAAAATATTCCTGTGTTCTAGTAGAAATAGGATTTTCTAACTGTTGTTTTTAATTAAAATCCAGTATCAACTGATTTTTTTTAAATACTACTTTGCATACGGCCAAATTCTTGATGGGGCTGTGGCTTGTTCTTAGTTTGTCACCATTAAGCTGAAGCACTACAACTGAACAAACTAACCTGCCAAACAGCTCTACTACAAGACTGTCACTAACTGCAGATAGTTTGAATAAGTACTCATCCTTTCTGTATTTTCTTGATCGTTCTTAAATACGAGTTTATTATAACTAGAAAGATGCCTTTTTGGTTTGATTTGCTGTGTTGATAGCTACTCATGAAAGTGGCTTTTTCCTGTGGACAGTCATGTTATTACCCTGTCTGAAACAATTTGGATATTTGTTTTTGAAGCTGTTTTACAGACTTAACTGTATCTTGGTAATTCCCTAAAAGTTATCTTTTCCTACTGCATTAAAATAGTTAACTGTTTCTGCAAGGATAGACTGAGACTCAACTGACTTGATACCTTCTGGTATATGTGGCCAAACAGCATCAGTATACAGGCATCGGAGAAGGCAAGGAATTTTATAACTGTTTTTAAAAATAACAGCACTTCAGGAAATACTTTATTTTATTTCTGGTTAAGTGATACAGTTTGGGTGCTGTAGCTGTAAAGATGCTTTCTTAGAGACTGAAAAACTAGTAAAGATAACTGAATACCGGTGACAGTAATATCTCTGTAGCATGGAGACCTTGTACTAGAAAGATCTGATCTTTGCTCTTATTTTTCGCGACAGTTATGGCGGACTGTCCCCACACAATTGGTGTTGAATTTGGCACGAGAATAATTGAAGTTAGTGGCCAAAAAATTAAACTACAGATTTGGGATACAGCAGGACAAGAGAGATTCAGGGCTGTCACACGAAGCTACTACAGAGGAGCAGCAGGAGCTCTCATGGTCTATGACATTACCAGGTAAGGTCTTGACTGGTGCATCTGGTATCGTAGCTCCGTGTGCTTGGCAAGCTGTTTGGATACCACAGCCAGGTACTGCCTTGTCTGTCCCCTTGACTGGGGTTTAAAGGACTCCTCTCTGAGTGGATTTGTATCTTCTTGTGTGAAACTTACCACATGTTTGTATCTAAATACTTTTTAAGTATTTAAAGAGCTAAAAATGAAACACAGGGAATTATGTGAGCTGCTTTTCTTGGAAAACATCACTGCTGACAGACCTGAGGATATTGCCATTTTAGGCCTTGACTGCCTGTGTTGAAGTTGCTTAAGCAATTGGCTTTGCTCTTAAAATCTACTCTTGAGTACATGGATTTCTCTCTTCCTGGGAGGCAACGGATACTGCTGCTTACCTGGCAGGAATATTCTTAGCATAGGCACAGGGCAGAATGTTACCTCTGTTGCGGTGGGATGTGTAAGCGTGCTTAGGGGACGCTGTGCGGATGAGAGCACTGGAGAAGTCTGACTTGTGGGCCTCTTCACAGGCTACTCCTCCAACAAAGCTTCCTCGCAGCTTCGCTATCCTGTCTTCCTTTTATTGGTGAAAATTAAAGATGCTGCGAAAAGGATAATTGATCAGATGTGCAACACAAAATACTTTTGCTTTCACACACCTCCCATCTTCGTCTGGGGCTGTTCTTGATACTCTTAACCACTTTTTTCTGTGTATATAGGTGTATCTCCTGTTTACTTAAATCTTGAGTAAAACGTAAATAACCTCATGTGCTGTTTGTTACCTATTCTACTGTACAGTGTTCTGTAAGAGTATTTGACAGGAAATCCTTTAATGTCTTCTATACAAAACAATAGAAATGTTGTCCCTGTGAAGGCAGTAAAACTACCACATCCTCAAAGCGTGAACTGGTCTGTCTTTCCACCTGTGGTGTGAGAGTTGCTCTGTGGGTTTAAAGTTGCTTCTTGAAACTTTGATCTAAGTCCAAAGATGATGCTGCTGCTTTGTCTGTCTGGAGGTTGGGGCGAGGAGCAGGGATGCCAGATGCTAGCGTGTTTATGGATGCTGACTGTGCTGTTGGCACGTAGGTATTTTAAATAAAATACCATAGCTAAAACTGTACTTGCTTGATTCTTTGCAGAAGAAGTACGTATAATCACTTAAGCAGCTGGCTGACAGATGCAAGGAACCTCACCAATCCAAATACTGTAAGTTGGACTTTATTTGGCTTGCAAACAAGATTGCTTACCTCTAAGTAAGAGGTGGAAGGCTTAGGCCAAAGCATCTGCAGTGGTAGCAGTGCTCTCTTTAAGAAGCTGCCTGTGTTTCCGCAGTTAGTTAGCTCTGAGTTACCCTGTTGTCCCCGTTCTGCAGTGCAACAGTGACTCTTCCCTTACTGCAGCTGGAGCAAAAGCATGGGCTCCTGGGCAGAAAAGCAGTGGTTTCTCCTAAAAGTCTTGTGCTACTCGTCTTCTAGGGGCCTCTTTTCAGCAGTTGGAGACAAAATTGTGCTTAACTCTGGTCAAACCTTAACTTCTGTTACTGCTGCTGCTTGCTTTGCGGTTGTAATGAGGTGAATGCTATCTCATCCTAGATTGGAATATAAATTGGATCTTCAGCAAAAGCTGACCAGGTCTTCTGGAGGGATGGGGGAAGAAGGTTCTGTGTCTCTTGACCACACCACAAAACTCCTCCTTCAGTCTTTTTCTGAATGCCCCTAAAATACTTCAGCACCAAGCTCATGGGAAGATTCTCTGCTGTGCTGAAAGAAAAATATTATGGCTGGATTAGCAGGTGATTAAACAAATCCCAGAAGTGGTTCAGAGTACAGCTCTCACGAATACAGAGCAGGACTGCTGCTGCTTTTTAGGACCCCCTCTCATGAGAACAGCCTGCAGCGTTTGCCAGTGACAGCTGGAGGTGCTATTCCTGAGGTGTGGAGCAGGCACTGCTAGAGCAGTGTTTTCCTCAGGATGCATGGCTTTTGCAGCTCAACTTTTCTACAGATTTCCTTCTGGGTTTTTGTGTTAATAATGAGGGTGGTGGTGAAAAAGCTTACTGGCTTTCTCCCGGACTAATTGTCTGTCTTCTGAACTAGGTGATAATCCTCATAGGAAATAAAGCAGATCTGGAAGCACAGAGGGATGTTACATATGAAGAAGCCAAACAATTTGCTGAAGAAAATGGTGTGTTTTTCCTCTTGAGCTGTTAACATTTCCTACAGGATAGTGATGTTAAAGTGAATCCGCAGCATTGATAGCTGCAAGCTTACACTTCCCAAGTAATGTAATTATACGTACAAACTTGTACTGTGCCTCAGGTAGTCTGGATTAGCTTTTAATTGTGCTTAGTTCTAGAAATCAGCTTGCGTGTATGCCTTAACTTAGTCACAAAATAGCCTTTAGTGCTCAAATAGTGTCCTGCATGTAATCTGAAGGTCATAATGTGCCTGACTCAGGGCTGTTTGTGTTGTGTATTATGCACTGACTGTTAAACCTCTGTTTCTGAACAGGTTTATTGTTCCTTGAAGCAAGTGCAAAAACGTAAGTTACTTCTGTCTAGAGTAACGATTCAGATGTGATCTGTTTGAGGAGCGTATCGGTTATGACTAAGTACAGCCATAGGATTTGGGTATAGCAGGGTTTTACAAGTGCCAAAAAACCCCTCCAAAACACTTCTGAGCTCCCTTGGAGGGTGAGGTACGTACAGCAGTTCCACTCATGTCAGCTTTGACTTGAAGTAGCTTGGCAGTTAGGCCTCTTGCTACGCTTCAGGCAAAGACCTGTTGAATTCAAATGAACCGATTTGGTTTTAAGACGTTATTTGAGTGTAGGATGTGTCTGCCTGGGGAAGAGCAGTTCCCAATTAGGGCGTTCCTACCCTCCGATGTTCCGAGCTGTGAGCAAGTTCTGTAGCAAACAGCCAGTCCCTTCGGTCACTGAGAGGAGTCGCTGCACCCTACTTGCGGTTGTCACGAAGCGGCGACTTCACACAATGTCAATTTAGTAGCAGTTTAGAATTTATTTGTGCCTTTATGGCAAATCACAGGATTGTGATCGCTGGGGGTCGGTCCTCCAGGGACTCTAGGAAATGCGGTTCCAACTGGCGCCTGTCTTCAAGGAACGCTTTAATAAAAAGGTGGTGATTAACAGTAGCTCCCTTGTCTTTAAGCCTCTTCCAGAGCTGCTCCGTGCCTGTGGCTCAGTGCCTTGGCTTATTTTTGCTACTCGGTGTTTTGGCGCTTTTTTTTTTTCCCCCCTGGCTAGTGATTTAATGGCTAGGGAGCGAGTTGCCGTATGGGAGGCTATCCCAAGGACAGGCTATCAGACTCCATGGTTTGTCTGCCCGAAGTACCGTACGCTCCTCCTGCGCCTGAGAGGGCAGGGTAGCAACTGCTCCTGCCCGGGGCGCTGTCACACCCCAGCGAGGCTGTCTGGGCAGCTGCCTCCATCACCCCCATGGCTTGGCTGAAGCGTAGCCTAAATAACCCCCGCTGCTCTTCTTCCTAGCGGAGAGAACGTCGAGGATGCCTTCCTGGAGGCTGCCAAGAAAATCTACCAGAATATCCAAGACGGAAGCCTGGATCTGAATGCTGCAGAATCGGGTGTACAGCACAAACCGTCAGCTCCGCAGGGGGGGCGGCTAACCAGCGAACCCCAGCCCCAGAGAGAAGGCTGTGGCTGCTAGTGACCTCCCTTCCGTGGCTCCATCTCTGACCTTTCACCTCTGTCTGTTGGAAGCGATGCTTTTGACTGCTTCCCTGTCTTCTGTACATCTTATTGGGTTGAATTAAAACTCTTGAGACAAGTTTAACACAGTACTAAACTGCTAAACAACTTTAGATGTAATCAGGTTATCAAAGGCAAGTAGAGTAATAAAACCTCTCCTGCATGGTAAATCTAGAAGTTTTTTTTTTTTTTATTTTTTCCCCCCCTCCCTTCCTTGATTGTCCTTGTGGTAGTGTCACCGATACATAATTTAAACTGAGCACTGATGCTGGACTCATGATTTTACACTTTTGCAGGGCTTTTGTCTTGTACGGTTTAATTTGATGGTTCTTTGGCCTTTCTTCCCCGCCTCTAACTGTCGAGGGCTGGCTGTAGGAAAGGAGTTTTTGCTGTGAAGTGACTTGCGATGGCAGCGAGGGGCTCTGTAACGGGGTGCTTTGGTGGGAGAATCCCCGGCGGGGTGTGCCGGGGTGGGGCGGGCCGGCACAGGAGCGTACAACTCGCACAGGGCAGCGATCCCTTCATTCGTGTGCTCATAGCTTTACGTCATTTTTTTTATTATTTTTGCCACTTTTATCCTTTACCTTTGTTAACAGAACGTAAATATGTATAAAATTTGAAGGAACTGAGCTAACAGTTAAAATACATCCTGTGTATATGATTTTAATGAAGAAAATGATTACTGGCATTAGGACAGTATATCAGCAAATCCCAGTTTGTACAGTATGACCTGTATGTCACCACACCGCCCCCTTAGTCCAGAAGTAGATGTGACTGCAGTTCACTACCCTAGGCTTAACTCCCTGTGCTGGGGGAGCTCCGATCCCGATGCAGACACTTAACACTAGTGGAATCTGTCCTTCATCTTTGCACTGTGGTGTTCCGACGCCGTTTTGTTCCCCCCCTCCCGTGCAATCGGCAGCGTGCTAACCCGCTTCTCTTCTGTAAGCGTTTTTGCATTACTGGGCTGCATCGCCCGCCTCGCGTCGCATACAAAGGCCGGTTCTCTCGCACACCTTACGCTTTTATACCTTTAACTTTTTGAATGGCCAGAGGCTGAACTGGACGGTCGGAACAACGCCTCTGCTCCCTAGGGATTTTTAACTGCTGTTGTATTTTTGTACCAGTCCCGCGTGAGGGGTTTCTTTGAAGATTGGGGCTCTTCCATGGAGCCTTTGAGCCCCTCGGTGGGGGGTGACACAACCTGTAATGCCTGGAGGAAGGGGAGCTGTCACCCCTGGCTGTGGTGCCAGGCTCTGCCAGCAGCACCCCCTGCCTCCCGTGAAGCTTCACTTGGAAAACGTCACGGACGGTTTAATAAATGGAAGGGGGGTAAGCGCGTAACCGCGGCCAAACGTCCGCCTTCAGCCTCGCAGCAGCGTTTAAAATACAAAGCAGTCTTAAAATCCCTCTCTAGACACTAAAACTATACAATGTTCAGACTTGTAAGTAAACAGTGGTACCAGAGTATTGTACAGTCAATGTTACATAAAAGCCAAAACTGGAATGTGCAGACAATAGGATTCGGGTAACTTGTGCGCTGTCCCTTTGTTTTGTCTGGTTAGTCTTTTTTTTTTTTTTTTTTTTTAAAATAATACTTTTAAGTAGATGGGTTTTTTCA